GGAGGGGAGGGGGATTGTGGGGGGCATGGGATAAAATAAAATAAAATTTATTTTTTAAAAAGAGACAGAATTGAAGAAAAAATGGAAATAGATTCTGCAAATGGGAAGTGGAACAAAAATTGGAGGGAACAGGGGAGAATGGGAGGGGAAAGTGACGAAAAAAATACAGACATGTTGTGTACATGTACAAACTGCTCATGATAAATGTAATCATCATGTACCACAAACATGTACTAGTAAAAAATTTTAAAATGAAAAATATCTTTTTTAAAATATATATATATATCTTTTTAGGGCCGGGGATTTAGCTCAGTGGTTCTGGCGCCTGCCTCACAGGCACAAGGTCCCAAGTTCGATCCCCAGTACCTAAACAAATAATTTTAAAAATATATCTTTTTTCAGGCCGGGGATTTATTAGCTCAGTGGTTCCAGTGCCTGCCTCGAAAGCACAAGGTCCTGAGTTCGATCCCCAATACCAAAAAAAAAAAATCTTTTTTCCTCCCCACTTCCTTGGCCAGTAATCTGCCATTCCTCTTTCTAGCAAAGTTCTTGAAAGCAGTCACTTACACTCACTCTCTAACTTTTCTCCTCCCACCCTGGGTTAATCCAGTTTTGTCCCCACTAACAATGAAAACTGCTCATCAACATCACTAATGATCTCCATTTGACTAAATCCAACTGCCAGTTCTTCGTGTATGACACAGTTCACTTATCCATCGTCTCTCTCACTTGGCTCCCAGCAAGCATGCCACATCCTCTTGGTTTTCTTGTTCACCTCCTTTGATGATCACATTTCTCTCCTTGATCTTTCAATTGCAGGCCTTTTCTCTCTCTACCTATATTCACTCCTCCCTTGATGACACGAGCCAGCTCATAGTTTTAAATACCTCCATATGCATACAACTCCCAAACTGATACCCATTCTTTCCTGAATGGCAGATTATGCATCCACCTGGCTAAGGGGCAAAAATACTGCAACTCCACGGCAGGGAGAATGGCCTGCCAAGGCATCCACATCCTAATCTCTGAAATCTGTGAACACTTTCTGTTACATGGCAAAAGGGACTTTCTGGATATAATTAAGCTCACAAACCTTAAAACAGGGAAATTATTCAGGTAGCCCCAACCTAATCACATGAGCCCTTAAAAGAGAATTTTCTCTGACTAAAAGCAGACGGGATGCAACCAAAGCAGAAAAAGAAATCCCAATCATAAGAGAGATTCAACTTGTCATTGCTGGCTCTGAGACAGAGGAGATCACATGGCAGGGCCCTAGCTCAGGGTGGGCCACCTGCTGACAACCAACATGGAAGTGGGGACTTGAATCCTACAGACCACAAGGAACCAAATTATGATACCCTGAACGACCTTTAAAAGCAGATTCAGGTAAGAACCCAATTCACCAACTCCCTCATTTTACCCCATACCTAGAGTAAGTGAACCTTGAGTCCACCCAGACTTTCTGGCCCACAGAACAGGAACGTAAGTTTATGCAGTTTTAAGCCTCTAACTTTGTGGTGGCAATACAAAACTAACAACATATCCAAAATAGAATTCTTCACCTCCCTAACCTATACAGTCTTTCCTATCATTGTTTTGGTTTGGCTTGGAAGGGGGGCCTTTTTTGTCTGGTTGATTGGCTTTTTTGGAGATGGGATCTTGCTCTGTAGTTCAGTCTGGCATCAATCTTACAACAATCTCCTGATTCAGCCTCCCGAGTGCTGCCATCACAGGTGTGTGCCACCACACCCCAGCTTCACATCTTTGTTAACATCGATTCCATTCCTTGTACCTAACTGAGCCAAAACCTTTGGGATCCTAAATGGGTCCTCTCTTTCTCTTCTTAAACCTCTGACCTACCTATAAGGAAATCACATGGGTTCTACCTTTAAACGTACTCAGAATCTGATCATCTCTCCCACCTCCCCACTGTGATTGCCATCTCAGCTGGGTGACTGCAACAATTCCTGATGTTACTAACTCCTGCTCCTACTCCACTCCACAGTCCCCATCCGCAACAAAGCAGCCAGAGCTCCTTTCAAAATTCTAAAAAGACCATGTTACATCTCAGTTCAAAACCTTCCAATGGCTCATTTTTCACTCAAAGTAAACACTAAACCCTTGCACTGGCTTGTACAATGCTTCTTCACTTGCTTACTCTGTTCCAACCACCTGACTCAGAACCTTTCGCTTTTGAGGCAAGCAGTGACACCACTGAGCGCATATACCCCCAACCCCAATCCTACTGATATTTAACACTTGCTAAATAATACGATTCCAGATACCATTCCAACCATTTTAAATGTATTATCTTATCCAATTTCACCATTTCCTCCACTTTACAGATGACAAAACTGAGTCACAGAAAGATAAATTAACAGTTCAATCAGAAAGTGATGAAGCCAGACTTCAAAAGCACAGGAATCAAGTCCATCTCACAAGCTCAAATTCTTAATTTCCACAGTGCCCATCACTTGTTATCCCTACTTGCTCTCTGGAGAGCCAGTAAAATAAACAGAAGGTGCCAAGAAGTGGGAATCCTAAGTGCTTAGTGTATGGGTAGAGAGGGAAAAATCAGAATTAGAACACTGGGAATAAAGATATTTCTCAGTGGTAAAACTGAGCACATAGCAAGTTATTAAATAAAATATGATACTTAACACTTACTTTTTCTGTCGTAACAGTCAGTGATGGAACCAAAGCAGGTGATGGTTCTGGTTGCTTTTTGTGTTTTTGTTTGTGTTTGTCCTTCTCTTTGTATTTCTAGAAAGTGAACAAAAGTAAAATCCAACTTAAATTTAAATTATAATCCATTTGTCTACAATAGTTTTCATAAATAGCAGTTTCAAACTTTAAAAAATACTTTTACCAAAGCATAACTTTAAAACTTAATCCTGTTATCACAGTACTATTTTATATACAAAAAAGCAATCTATTTTAAAATGACATATGCTTGATCAATTTAAAATAATAATGAAAAGCAACCAAAATCTGTAACTATTTGTTACATTTATATTCGGCAAAATACATACTTTTCCTTCTTAAAACACCAAGTACTTTTTATAAGTAGTACTTTTAAAGCTCATATAGCACTTTAATGTATGATCATATTTGAAAAGTTCCATATTCTCCCCACCACGCACTGAATCCCATGCACCAGAAACAGATCAGGGCACAAACTTTCAGGCAAGAACCTTTCCCAGGTCTACTCAGTAAATGGATAAATTAGTTATCTCTATCAACAACAACAGAAAAAGTAGACAAAAGTCAAGTGTGCTGCTATAAAGTACTAAAATTAGTAAACTAGGGCCAGGGATTTAGCCCAGTGATTCTGCTGCCTGCCTCAATAGTGCAAGGTCCCGAGTTCAATTTCCAGTTCCAAAAAATAAAACAATAAATAAAATAAAATAAAATTAGTAAACTAAATCTAAAAAGTAATTTGATTAAATAGGAAAATAATTACAGGGCCAGGGATTTAGCTAAGTGGTTCCATTGCCTGCCTCCCAAGAGCAAGGTCCAGAGTTCTATCCCCAGTACCACCCTCCCAAAAAAAGAAAGAAAATAACTACTTATTAAAGCCTGATTTTGCTTAAAATCAAAGAATGGGGGGGGGGATCGAACTCGGGTCCTTGCGCTTGCGAGGAAGGCAGAGGAACCACTGAGCTAAATCCCCAGCCCAACATCAAAGAATTTTAACCAAAATGCTCTCAACTGTTTGAGCCAGACCAGTTATAAAACAGTATTTCAGAGCCTGGGGTGGTGACACATGCCTGTAATTCCAGCTACTCAGGACACTGAGGCAGGAGGATCACAAGAACAAGGCCAGACTAGGCAACTTAGTGAGACCCCATCTCCCCAACATAAAGAGCTGGGAATTTAGCCCGTAAGAGTGCTCCTGGGGCTTGATCCTTAGTACCAAAAACGAAAACAGTACTGGCTATGAAATCTGCTACTATGTCAAGAGTGAAATTTATTTCATAGTGCTTTAACTATTTAGAGCACTTAATCTGTTCAAGGCATGAAAGACTAATTTCCCTGTCCCTACTCTAAAAGAGATTGCATACCAGCAGAACAAACAGCATGAAAATTAAGGATACATGTTTTAATACAATACTCCAAATGCTTCCCTTTTTGCTTTTAATTCCTAGTCTAAGTACTTAAGACATTTTTTGAGTGATTGTTAATACTGCTGGAACAGAAAGTAAATTAACACTTTTTACTCAAACTCTGGGGCAAATTTTCTAGTTACTTTAATTGTGGCAGATGGCTCCTAAGGAAATCATGCTTCCACTCTTTCCAAGGGATAGCACTGCTCCTCCCATCTTAAAATGACCTCTTCTCCACAGCTTCTAGACACTAGGGCTTTAAGAAGGTTATCAGGGCTTCCACCTTTGCTCCCACAGATCCAAGTCATCACGTCCAGAATCAGAATGGTTCCACTCTCCTGATAGGCAGGCCACGTGGAGAACTGGCCATATGGCAAAGAAGGGAGGTGCCCTGCCCCAGGCAGCAGTGCCCAGCACCAGGCATGTACACAGGGCAACAGTGACCACCTGGCCAGCCACTAGCTAGTCACGAATAATCCAACTTACACCACATGGAAGAAAAATGCCCAACTTTTTCCCCACATAAAGAAGCTAAGGACAGCGATACAAGAGTTTTTGATCCAAGGTTTAAAAAGTAAAACTATCTACAAAAGGACAGTGTTCAAACTAAAGCAGGTTAAAACTTTGTTCAGGAAGCAGTAAACGGCCCTCATGTGATGGTGCACACCTATAATCTCAGCTATTAGGAAAGCAAGTGCAGGAGGATCAAGGCCTCAAGGCCTCAAGGCCAAGACAACTTGTCAAGATTCTTCCTCCACATAAAATGAAAAAGCACTGGGGAAGTAGCAGAGTGGTAGAGTGCTGGGCTAGCATGTATAAGGCCCTACTTGGGCTCAATCCCCAGTAAACAAACACCCTCACCCCCAAACAAAGGAGTGAAGATATTGCTTAAGTGCCAACATTCAGGCCCCAAGGAATTAGCCTATCTCAGGTTTTTTGAAGAATACCAGGTAAAACAACTGAAAAACCTTTGCAGCAAAATAGTATGTGAATTCCAGTATTAATAGCTTCAGGTTATTTCTCAGAAAAACTCTAGAGTAAATTAGCAAAGGCTTGCTAGCATATAGAAAAGAATTTCATTGTCATTAATTTCCAATGACAGGCCATCAGGAAGTCCAATATTAGAAATTAATACTTGGCCAAAAGGTAAAAATGAAAAGGAAAACATGAGTTATTTTAAGATAACTCAATTTATTTCTTGGAACTCACTGTATTTCTAGTAAGAAAAGAGGGTCTCGGGGCAGGGATTTAGCTCAGTGGTGCCCCTCCTGCCTGGCAAGCACAAGGTCCTGAGTTCAATCCCAGAGAGGGGAGGAGAGGGGAGCAGGGAAGAGAAGAAGAGAGTCTTTAGTCAAACAATGCAAAATGTTCCTTCAAATACAGAGTACACTAATCTTCAGTAAAACGTGAATGGTATGGCATTTTAAAAGGTGATTTGAGTGCCGGGGATTTAGCTCAATGGTTCCACTGCCTGCCCTGTAAGCACAAGGACCAGAGTTCCATCCCCAGTAACAATAGAAAAAGAAAAAGGTGATTTGAAATCACAAAGTTTTCCAATGTTAACAAACTTTTTAAAAGTTAAAACAACCAACCAAATCAACCAACAAGCAAACAAAATTGGGGGCAAGGGCAGATAATAGTACATTAAAAACTGACAAGCGAGGCATGAACCCTCAATGAACTCCAGGAGAAGAAAGGTGCTGAAGAGCCTATTTCAAGAAACTGCACACAACCACTCGCACCGCAGAGGAAGGGGCTTCTGGGTAGCCATGCCACCTCTCCCAGAGCAGAGGTAGGGGCTTCTGGGCCACCGTACCACCGATCCCAGCACAGAGGAGGTGGGCCACACAGGTACCAACAGCACACACTCCCTCTGTCCGCCCACCCCCACTGAAATGAGAAAACATGTAAACAAGTCTCAAAACCAGACTTCCAGGTCACCCACAGCAACCCCAAAGGGAAATGAGATGAACAATCTGATACTCAACCACCTGGACTCCCTAAACTGGCAACAAAACAGGATCTGGAAAAAACGAAATCAGAAATAATTTCTCAAGGGACAGGGATTTAGCTTAGTGGTTTCGTTGCCTGCTGTGCAAGCGCAAGGACCCGAGTTCAATCCCCAGTACCAAAAAGAAAAAAGAGTAAAGAAATAATTTCTCAGATAACAGCAGAGATTGTGCTCATAGTGCAAGATATAATTAATAAATCTAGAGAGGAGCTGAGGAACATGATGGAATTCCAAAATAGGAAACAAATGGAATCCATAAAACAGATGCAAACAGGTTTCCAGCATATTAAAAACTCCATTGAAAGTCTAAGCAGCAGAATGAGGCAATGTGAGGAAACAATTTCAGATACAGAAGAAAACATTGCAATTAGTGACCAGGAAAAGAAAAATTTCTTTAAAATTGTAAGGGACCATGAGAAATCAATCCAGCAGCTGCTAGACGATGCAAAGTCGAATAACATAAGACTGATTGGAGTCAATGAAGAAACAGGAGAGACTGCCAGATGACATAAAAAAAACCGTTCACAAAAGTGGTGGTAGAAAACTTCCCAAGCAGGGGAAAAGAACTTGACACAGAGATAAATGAGGCACATAGGACTCCAACTAGCCTTGATCAAAAAAAATCTACACATAGGCATATAATTGTTAAGATTCCAGAACCCCAACAGAAGTTCAAAGTTCAACAAGTAGTTAAGAGAAAAGAAACAAATCACATACAAAGGAAAGTCCATCAGAATCACAGCAGACTTCTCAACACAAACCCTCAAGGCAAGAAGAGCTTGGAGTGATGTATTTCAAGCCCTGAAGGAAAACA